CCTTTACCTAATTGTTATTGCTTTATTTTAATTGAATTCTGCCTGGGCTTGGGCCCCATGTAAGCCGCCCCAAGTCTCTTCGGGGAGATGGAGGTGGGGTAGAAAAATAAAGTTCTTCCTCTTCTTCTTCACCGATCACGGATCTCAGATAGTACCAACTTTATTATAGAGTTCACCTCCAAGAGATGCACACCAAAGAACAGAGTAACCCCGCAAACAAAAGAAACCAGGCACTCTTGATCAAAATATTTAAAGAGTCAGTGGTTAAGAGTGGTGACTGGACTCTGAGAGATCTAGGTTTGAATCCCAACTAAGTTACGAAATTCACTCAATGATTTTGGTTCAATTACTCTCTCTTTATGTGATGTACACCAGACAATTAGAGAGGATAAGAACCATGTACACTGGATCCAGCTCTTTAGAAAAAAAGAAGGCATGTAAAGATAACTAATATAATAAAATAAGATGGGGAAAATTTCTGTTTGATTGACTAGTAACTTCAAATTAGATCACTGCTCTATGATGATTTTGGCAGGAGGGAAGCACAACATGTACTTCGAAATGCTGCAAAATATGCAGGAAAATATATGCTGGTCAGCATTCTACTCCGGGAAATATATACCATAACATTGTTCCCATTATTGTATCAGTCCTGTTACTTGAATGCCTTTCAGATTCCAAATCAGTAAAGAAGATGTTCTTTCTTCCCAGGAGGCATCTTCTCTGCTTTATATATAGTGCCCTGCAGTCAAGCTCAGATGTATTACCATTTCAGCAACCCAGACTGACAAATGTTTGTCATAACTTAACCAAGGTGCTTCCTTCTTGACCTTTGATTCTGACTTATGATCCAGAGCCCCATTTCATTTCTTTCTCTTAATGAGGCATCATGTGCAAAGGAGCATTCCATCAGCTGCAGTTGCCACTGTTTCCCAAAACAGCTATAAAGAGCAATCCAGAAGCTACAGAGACGATATTATATATGAGGCTTAAGAGCTATGGTATCAATGTAGTAACCATGTTGTGGTTACAGGCACATATCTTTGCTCTGCGGCTCAGTGAGATATAACATTCTTCTTTCTCTCCCCCAAACAATATCCTCCCTTATTATTTCCATTTAGACATAGGTGGGCTTTGCAGAGGATTAGTAAACAGAGAGGGGGAGTACACAAGGATATACTTCTTTATGGAGCCTCCAAACTGATCCAAAGCAATCTATTTTTCTTCAGTTATTCAAAGTCTTCAAAAATCCATTCCAATTCAAATTCTATTATTATTTAACTTTCTGAAAGACCTAAAACATATTCTACTGTTCTGCTATAGATGGCGGAAACAGAAGAACGGCCTGCCTCAGGGGAGTGTGCTTGCTTCATTCATGTTCAACATCTGCACAAATGACCAACCACTGCCAGAAGGGACAGAGAGTTTCATCTATGCTGATGATCGTGCCATTACTGCTCAAGCAGGGAGCTTTGAGATGGTAGAACAGAAGCTCTCCGAAGCTCTAGGTGCTCTTACTGCCTATTACAGGGAAAACCAGCTGATCCCCCAACCCATCTAAAACACAGACATGTGCCTTTCATCTCAAGAACAGACAAGCATCCCGAGCTCTGAAGATCACCTGGGAAGGAATCCCACTGGAGCATTGCAGCGCACCCAAATACCTGGGAGTCACTCTGGACCGTGCTCTTACCTACAAGAAGCACTGCCTGAACATCAAGCAAAAAGTGGGTGCTAGAAACAATATACGAAAGCTGACTGGCACAACCTGGGGATCACCACCAGATACAGTGAAGACATCTCCCCTTGCGCTGTGCTACTCTGCTGCTGAGTATGCATGCCCAGTGTGGAACACATCTCATCACACTAAAACAGTGGATGTGGCTCTTAATGAGACATGCCGCATTATCACGGGGTGTCTGCGCCCTACACCACTGGAGAAATTACACTGCTTAGCCGGTATTGCACCACCTGACATCCGCCGGGAAGTAGCAGCCAATAGTGAAAGGACCAAGGCAGAGACATCTCCAGCTCATCCCATTTGGGTATCAGCCAGCACGTCAACGATTCAAATCTAGACATAGTTTTCTAAGATCTACAGAGACACTCGCTGAAACACCTCAGCAAGCGAGAGCCCAAAAGTGGCAGGCTCAAACCCAGAACCTCAACCAATGGCTGATACCAAATGAGAGACTCTCCCCTGGGCACACAGAGAACTGGGCGACTTGGAGGGCGCTGAACAGACTGCGCTCTGGCACCACAAGATGCAGAGCCAACCTTCAGAAATGGGGCTACAAAGTGGAATCCTCGACATGCGAGTGTGGAGAAGAGCAAACCACTGACCACGTGCTGCAACGCAACCTGAGCCCTACCACATGCACAATGGAGGACCTTCTTGCAGCAACACCAGTATCTCCAAGTGGCCAGATACTGGTTAAAGGACATTTAATCAACTACCAAACTCACAAATTTTGTATTTTGTATGTTTGTTGCTTTGTTTCTGTTAGAAATGTAATATAATTGACTGGTTGCCCTGACACGACAAATAAATGCTATAGACCTATGAACTGTTTAAAAGGTTTATTTTTTTTGTTTTAAAACTGTTAGTCCTGCTGAATGTAGGGCACTAACACATGCACTGACTTATTAAGTTCAATGGATCTATGCTCCTCATGACAAGAAACTGGATTTTGGTCTCTGTCGATAGACAATTAAAATGTAGCCCTTTTTTTTATTCAAATGACCCTGAATGAAGCCAAATTACAAAGAAAAACTCTTGGAAAAAAGGCAGCTGGCTGGAGAATAAGGAGGAATAACATCAAAAATAAGCTGGAAAAGAGGTGATACACATAAAAATCAAATAGTTTAACAACATCCTTCTTTGCTTCTTGGAAGATAGGATTATTTCTGTTCTGTCCAATTTCACATATTTCACTTATAGTGTCATAAATCTTTACTTCAGCCATTCAATTACAGAGACAGAAAATTGCCAGTTGTTTTCATAATGAAAGTTGCCTACTATCCTGTGAATTTCACTTATCTATCATGGTAATATATCTTCAAAGGCTAAGCAGATTAGTTAAGGTTGGCCTCCCTAACTAAAATTCTAGCTGCTTTAATCAGAGATTAAGTTTTCCCATAGCACTGAACTGCAATGTTTACCCAACACAGAAATACTTGTAAGCACTGGCTGCTTGGCCATTTTGGTATGACAATGTGTTCCTTTCTAAGTTTCTTCAAGTCCACAATGTAAGGATTACTTTCCCTCAAACAAGAGAATGACAAATCTTTTGGATTATTTTAAAATATTTTTTATACAAGTACAAGTTCAAAATAAATATTTGGAAGACATGTAGCAGCCAGGCTATGCTATGGCCAAGACGGAATTGAAACAACTTCACCAACTGAAAAAAGCCAAGAGCACTTCCACAACTCCAAGCTGTTTTTCTGCTGGTATGATTTTTCTGCATTAACCACTAAGGAGGAATAATTCAAATCTAGAAATGCCTTCCTTACTGCATACGTAGCATCATATCACACATTTAGATTTAGTGGGAAAGTATCTGAACAAAGCATATTATTTTGATACATTGTGCAGACCCTATTCCCCTGATTCCTTTGTCAGTCACAAGGGCACAATGAGAACCATCCATTTTTAAACTACCCAGATTTCAGAGAAGCATCATGTTGCAGAACGATGAGATAACAAAATGAATTTTCTCAAAGACGATTTTGAACCCTAGGAAACTGATGTTTGGAAAGCAGATCTATTGTTTTCACACATCAACATTAAGTCGTCATTGTAAAATCTAAAAGAGCTGTATTATAAACAAGGGACATGATCTGTATCTTTCTAAATTATATTGCATTTTATTCCGCTCCTACAACTGCATCGCTTTCCAGGTGGAAGGTGGTCCCCCGGTCAGGGTTGGCTTGACGTGCCTCCCTCTTAGTACAATTTCTCTCTTTTGCCCTCCATTCGTGCCTCTTCAAATTCTGCAGCACTGCTGGTCACAGCTGACCTCCAGCTGGAGCGCTCAAGGGCCAGGGCTTCCCAGTTCTCAGTGTCTATGCCAGAGTTTTTAAGGTTGGCTTTTGAGCCCGTCTTTAAATCTCTTTTCCTCTCCTCCAATATTCTGCTTTCCGTTCTTGAGTTCGGAATAGAGCAACTGCTTTGGGAGACGGTGGTCAGGCATCCGGACAACACAGCCAGTCCAGCTGAGTTGACGGCAGAGGACCGCCCTTCAATGCTTTGGATCTTCCAACACACTGACATTTGTCCGCTTGTCTTCCCAAGAGATTTGCAGGATTTTGGGGAGGTGGCGCTGATGGAATCGTTCTAGGAGTTGCATGTGACGTCTGTAGATAGTCCATGTCTCACAGGCGTATAGCAGGGTTGGGAGGACAACAGCTTTATAAACAAGCACCTTGGTATCCCTACCGATGTCCCGGTCCTCAAACACTCTCTGCTTCATTCGGAAAAATGCTGCACTCGCAGAGCTCAAGCAGTGTTGAATTTCCGTGTCAATTTGTGGAGAGGTGGCTGCCAAGGTAGCAGAATCAACTTTTCTTACGTATGCAATATGTTAGCATCACGTTTGAAAAGGGAAACTTTAAACATTACTGGACAATCTTACTCTTCTGGGTGCCTTTTAAATTTGAGATTCAGACAATTCTGTGTGAAAGACTAGTAGGTTAGTAAAGTGCTCTTTAGTATAGCAATGCCTATAGTGTATCCAACTATATAGGCTTAGTTTAACCTTTTCTTTTTTTCTTCCTCACAGCTTCTAATTGCCTTAATGGAACTGCAATTATCTCTACATCAAAGATGTAGCCAGAAAGCATAGATCGACCACAGGATAAAGCTACTAATATCAACGCTTTAGATAGGAGCACTGAGAACCTATTTTATAAACTGCACTTGTTGCCTGTTCCTGAATAATCACACACAGCATGCACTAGAAAACAATTAGATCAAGAATCCACTCACTCTGTAGTACCTGCTTAAAAAGTTGAAGATTCACTGCAGTTTCCAGAAATTGTTTGGTAGTGCTGGAGCGGTGCTTAACAAAACTTTCTTCACAGAAACTGACAGGCTCCCCCTGAATTAAGAGAGAATGAATTAGAAATAGAGTACTTTGGGAATAATCATTGCCATTCCTTCTACTTAATCAGTTTAGACATAGCAGCATTATTATGTTGATATGCTCACAATTAATTTTGCTCTAGCCAAACTGACATGTGCTGACCCCAACTGATTATACGATGGATGAAACAATCTCCCAAAGCAACATGAAACAGGGCATCAAACTTACCCCTTTGTGTAATAATCAAAAGATAAAAAGACGGTTACTTCCTTGATAGACCAAATTTAAAAGATGAGCAATTTGGGATAAGTAAGCAAGAACCACCATTGGCAAAAAGGTATTAATTCATGACCAAGAGGCTTAGAACTGCTCTGTTTATATATATATTAAAAACCTTTTCTTGTGTCATTTGGACCTGCAAACTTCTTCATCCCTGATCTAATCAATGGTGATGCTCTATAACATTCTTATGGCAAACCTATTGTAAGCTACAGTATTTACCACATTGTAGAAGACTGCTGTGAAATAAAAATTCAGAATTCGCAACTAATATATAGAGCAAACAATCAAGAGTCATAACTCAAGGCACGTCAAGTTTTTTTTCCTATTACGTCTTATACTTGGTTGAATGTCATTTTTTTGCTCCATGGTCCTGGAATGAGAACTTCTAGCTGGGCTATAATTCATGTAACAACACACACTGGCCTGCAGATATAAGAATATTTTATAGCTACAAGAACTGTACATGTGCAACCAAAATAGGTAGGGGCCAGCTCAGCCACTGGAAGGGGGAAAGGAAACAAAGGTATTCCTATGTGAATTCTTATTATGATGGAACAGAGAGGCCTTTCAAACACAAACTTCAGGCTACTATGATACACATTTTATTTATGTCTATGATCACTGCCTCCTTCACATTTTACTTCCATAAGCTCTCACATCCTCAGGTGCTATTTTATACACATTTCCTCACATTTTAAATTTATAATGTAGTAGCTGTATGGCTTATAATGCCATCTGATAGTGTGGGGTTTGAGGATTATAGGAATTGAAATGACATTCATCGTCATGTATGTCGAAATTACTGAGGAGTGATCAAACCCAGATTGAATTTAAGGATTTAAAATATGTCGTATTTTATTCACTTTCATCTGGAAAAAAATCCTTCTTCTTGGGCCCCATAAATATCTCAGTGTTCTCTATCTGTAGGCCACAATGTTGTACATTTCATGGATAAAGAATGAAATCTTATACACTAATATCAAGTGTTGATTCCTTGATATATAACATATAATAGAGAACTATTTACAGGCCTGAGGCAACCCAAGTTCAAAACATTCTGGGATGGATGGGTGTCAGTTCATATTATGGGTAATCACAAAAGTATATGACCATGCAAGAGCAAGGGACAAGGAAACTGTTGAATTAAGGGGACAATCCTGCCTTTAAAAATACCCCATTCAGAACTGAGTCGAGTTCTGAAAATGGACTTGTTGAACAATAAGAGTTTCCCACCCTATGGGGTGGTTTGGCACTTTAGACTTTCAGAATGCTAAGACAAAAGGAATTTGCAAACTTCCTAAAAAATGAAGTACATCTGATTCATTGCACTATGTAATTGTCCCCGATACTTTCTCCCTAAATGTAAGGAAATTCTCAATATACAGGCACATTTCAAAAGCCTTTTCAATTTATGCTGTTTTTTCAGCCATGTTATAGTGAGATGCTAACACCGCCCCCCTGCGAAACCACAATCAAAATAGCAGTAACTCCAATGCAAATTGTTGCTATACTAAGCTTCAGAAATATGTTCAATTTAAAAACCAGAAATTTGATAAAGTTTGTCCCAGGTAATAAATGCCATTGATTTTGGTTTGCTTGTTATCAGCATGCTTAGGGTAGTGTAGCCTTTGGAGAAACACTGTGATGATATTTACATGGATGCATGCATGCTCTAATAGTCCTTTTACTATTGATTTACAACATATTTTCAAAGTATGTTTGATCTAAGCCTAGTAGGGATTCTGTACTGAAAAGGAGACTGTTAGTATTTGAACCAAAAGTAATGAATGCCGAACAAGACATCTGCCCTCTTTGACAGCCATTGTCAAAGAATTCTGTGCATACCAACTCTTTTTCATGAGGTGCTAAATAAATTAGGAGTCATTTAACTTTAACCTGAAATCATATATGAGGCAAGCTGCTTAATATATAGATTGGGTATCCCTTATTTGAAAAGCTTGAGACCAGAAATGTTTGGGATTTTGTAAACATATATTTGTAAAGATATAACGAGATATATTTGAGGTGGAAGACAAACACGAAATTCATTTAGGTTTCATATATATCTATCTATACATAAGATTTTAATAACTTGACCCAGGAATGGCCAAGACAATGTAACGGATGAAGATTTGAATGAGAGGACATAGTTTCTTTTTAAATTGTTTATTATGCACTGTCGTTTATGTTTAATTTGCACTTGATGTTTTTGCTTTATTAATGTATGTATTTTGTTTCGGCATCGAATTGTGCCGACTGTGTATACCGCCCTGAGTCGCCTTCGGGTTGAAATGGTTGGGATAGAAATAATGTAAATAAATGAATACATAAACTTGTGCATGAAACAACATGTGTGTACACTGAAGCACCAGAAAACAAAAATGTCACTATCACAACTATCCACGTCAACAATTATGGAGTTGAGAATATTTGGTATTTCCAGATAAGGGCTAGCCAACTTTTAACTGTAAACAATTCTGATCAACTAACTCAGACAAAATAATCATCTTAACCAGGGGTCCTCAAACTTTTTAAACAGAGGGCCAGGTCACAGTCCCTCAAACTGTTGGAGGGCCGGATTATAATTTGAAAAAAAAAAACATGAATGAATTCCTATGCACACTGCACATATCTTATTTGTAGTGCAAAAAACACTTAAAAACAATACAATAATTAAAATGAAGAACAATTTCAACAAATATAAAATTAGTATTTCCATGGGAAGTGTGGGCCTACTTTTGGCTGATGAGATAGGATTGTTGATGTTGTGTGCTTTCAAGTCGTTTCAGACTTGACCCTGAGCGAGGGCCGGGTAAATGACCTTGGAGGGCTGTATCCGGCCTCCGGGCCATAGTTTGAGGACCCCTGATCTTAACTATGAGACAGTAAGATAAACCTATTTAAATGTAACAAAAGCGCAAATAAATCTGACCTAGGAGAAGGCAGCCTTGCTTCTAAATAGACAGTTGTTTAGTTTTTGATAGATTAATTAATTTATTTCCCTCCCTCCGTGATATAGGAATGTTAGTGGTTTAATTAGCAAGGTTAGACCAACTTCTGAATGCTGGTCTCTGGGCATAGTTTAGAAAGGTTTGGGCTGCATCTACACCAGGCAAAATATCACAACAAGGTGATAAGCCATGTGATCACCGTGACATGGACAGCAAAGCTCTGCTAGGAAGCTGCCTCTTGACAGCAAAGGAGCAATGACTCTTTTGGATGTGTGAAAACCTAGATCACCTCAGATCCAGCTGTCCACATGTCACAAACACTTGGAGGAACTTGCAGTTCTTCTTGTGCTGTATTAATTGTTTAAACACTTCTGCTGTGGAACTGGCCATATAACCCCCTTCAGGGGTTTAAGGTGAGTATATTTTATTTGGTCTGTGTACAATAGGCCTTGGACTTAGTAAACTAGGTGGGAGCTGCTTAAAAGTCATAATATAATCCCATGTTGAATTCCTAGCACATCTCAAGTCCAGAACCGGGAAAACCTCAAAGTCCCTAGGAAGGCTCTGTTTGTCAGAGCAGATAGGACAAGGAAATGATTATGAGATGTATTCATTTCATTTACTGAATGTATATCCCATCTTTCAGAATACTGAATCTCCTGGTAGGGAAACCAAGCAGGGAATTGACTAATCTTTTCCATTGCTTATCTCTCTCTGTTTTAGAGGACAAATTAAAAAAATTGTTAAGGCAATAGGACACCCGTCTAGATCAGGGGAATTAGAGGAGAGACAATGGCAAAAGAATGGACAAGAGCAACACATATCAAGAAGATGAGCTCAGGAAAAAAAAAACCCAACTTGCTAATTTGTGAAAATCTTGTGAGGGGAAAAAAGTGTTGTGTGATAAATACGTAATTCTTCATGATAAAAGAAGAAGAAGAAAAATAATGTAACACTATAAACAAGTCACCTTTCTTAAAAACACAGTCTCATTAAAAGATTATAAAGAATATAAACAACTACCTTGATTTATACTGCACTTTAAAAAGTCTGGCACCATTTCAGAAAGCTAGCCAAGAATTAGATAAAGCCCGTACAAAAGATACTGAAGTCTCTGCAAGGAGGGAAAAAACCACCCACCACTTAACTTTTTTTTTTTTTAAAAGGCATTACTTGAAAGAACATTAAGACTTTTCAAGTACAGTTTGAAAAATTAGGGAAATAAAGAGCTAAAAATCGGATTACTTCTATTTAACTATTTAATCTACTTTAGAGTATACTGATATACACAAACAGAAAATGGCACAAGAAGAGCTAACATATATCTTTAGAATGGTGAAATTGCCTTGAACATACCTGAAAGGCTTTAGAGGCTGTTTAGCGGCAAACTATATTTAAAAAGCATTTTTGGGTCATATAGTATTCAGCTGTAACTTTAGTTAGAAAAAGTCAACTGTTTGCTTTGATAGTGAAACAAAACACCTGTTTAATGCTAAAACTGGCATTATAAGAAAATATATTACATATGCTTATATTAAAAGCAAACATATGAATCCATTGTTCTCATGCTTTAATCTAATTTTTACTATTAATACTGTTGTAGTACAGCGTGATAGTGACGTTACTACTACTGGTAGAAGGGAGAAGAGGTGTTGGAGGAGGAGCAGCAGCGAAAGCGGATTAGAGACATATTCATGGCTCCAACTGATTCCGAGTCCTTCGAGGGTTTCTCAGATTGTGAAATGGGGGAAGGAGAGGAAAGCAGGGGAGTTAAGCGGGCTACTCGAGAACAAGAATCAGATGAGGAGATCCAAAGGAAGCGTATCCGTGATATACTTAGCGCTCCAACAGAAGATGAAGACTTTGTGGGTTTTGAAAGGAGTGATGGGACTGGGCGTGACGATGGGGAGGAGGATGCTGTGTGCAGGAGATTAGGGACATCTGTACTCAGCCTACATCCAGTGATGACTTTGAAGGGTTTGCAGAGGACTGGCAATCTGGGAATACTTGGGAAGACCTAAGTCTTGTAAGATGCTGGCAAAGGTGGAGAGATGGGAGGCATTGCTCAGCTGCAGGGAATGGGGCAGCTGAAAGTGATGATGAAAGGATGGGGAGCAGTTCATCCTCTGATGAGGAGTTATAGGATATAAGTTGGTTTGAATTCAGTGGGTCTTTGCAGAAGGCAAAGTGTCTTATCGGGTTTGGATCTTTGTTACTGACATTACTCTCAAGTTTGGGTCCTTGGTCTACAGATCTGTGTTTTCGTGACTTCTGGTGGAAACTCCGTAAGTGCTGACTTCAACCTCCCCTTTGACTCTGGACTGTGTTTTGACAACGACTTCGCTTTTTGGACTGCTTCATCTCATTTTGGATGTGCCTGGACTTTGGACTGTTTTTGGACTTTGATTTTGCATGCTCCCACCTTGTTTTCCTGTGCTTTTTGGACCTTTTGAATTTCAAACAGATTGCTGTAACTTTTCGTTATCCCAGATTATACTCTGGTATAATCCAGATTATATTTAAATTGGGGTTTTTGCTTAGCAGTTGCTATAGACTCTTAGTTTGTGCTAGAGGCACTGAGTTAAGTGTCTCTAAGCCTTTTTTGTGTTTAATAAACCTTTGTTTGGACCTTTTATACTGTGTTTAGCATTCTTGAGGCTTCTGGGTCTTGACAAATACTATGGAGATATTTCTGTCTCCTTGCAAACTTCAGTTTACAAATTGAGAACTGGCAACTCTATTCCATACATTAACCAACTTTTCATGTTAGATCTGCTGGTGTTAAATCTGCACTGGGCCTCAGAAGAAACATTACCCAGAACATGTGGCCCATGAGCAAGGGTTGTTCCCTGTTGTTAGCACAAACAAGGGACTTCCTTTCCAAACAATGCACACCTACACTTTCCCTTCCATGATCAACAATGATTTTTTTACACAAATTATAGCTTTGAAGGACACACAAGGAGTTTCCAAGAATGACAAGGCAATTGGTGCTCTGTTGCGCGCTGGGCCTGTAAATAGTTGTCTTTAAAACAGGACGTGCAACCTTTGCCCAACAGGAAGCCAGGGGGCCTAAAGAGAAGTTCTCAGAGGTTTCCACCACAAACAGTCTTTAGATGGCTTGAGAAGTACAACAAAGTCTTTTATTAATGAATAATCAAACAGAAACTTCTCTTGTCTTCAGTAAAGTTAAGTAAATGATTCCAAGCTTTTGGGCAACTGGTGAATTCCTAAACTTGCCCACGAAGGACAGGCAACTATCTTCAATAACTTCTTCCTTAAAGGAAAAACCCCTTTTTAACTTCTCCCAGGCTGACTGTAAACTTAAACCTAACAGATGTGGGCACCTATACCGGGTTGAACTGCGTCTCAAAGCACCGAGTGGACCTACCAGCAAGGCCTGTAGTCTCTTCAGCTGGAGTTCTTTGATCTTTAGGGCTGTTTCCCTGGAAAGTCTTTGGAGACTCTTTTCCTTCTGTTTCTGTTGGAATTTCTGTAACCCTGGAAATTCTTAGGAGACTCTTGAAACTGTTCTCCCCCGTAAATTCTTTAAGGTTGAAGCTTTTGTACAGGGGAAGCTTGCACACATCCGGTACATAGCTAACCTTGCTGAGACTAACTAAAAAATGGCTCCCTTCCCTTCCCAATTGCCCTGAGCAAGGGGCGGGACCAAAACTTAATGATGATGGACAGGTGACTGCAGCCAAAAGAAGCCACCTATCTGCAGAGTCCCTGAAACCTAGGACTGCAATCAAACATTTAATACAAACATTTAGTACACCCCAGTCATTCCACAGATATATAAACTCATTTTCCTAATTCCAACAGACCTCACTACCTCTGAGGATGCTTGCCATAGATGCAGGCGAAACGTCAGGAGAAAATGCCTCTAGAACATGGCCATATAGCCCGAAAAAACCCACAAGAACCTAGTGATTTCAGCCATGAAAGCCTTCGACAATACATTTAATACAAAGCAAATAAAGTTGGAGCTCCTGGTACAGCTGTACCAGAACAGGTGTTCAACATAGACTAAATATATTGAAAATCAAGACAAAATGAACAGTTGAATATAAGACATAGCTTACTGGTTTATATCTTAGTGCATCTCTGTAAGATCCAAACAACGCAGCCTGTGCCCTAAGAAAGGCCCTGGCTACTCCATCACCAGTAGCTGTGGACTGTTTCTTCAGTTTATTTTTCAAGGCCGAGACCTGTGTGACAGAGAAGAACAGTTAAATTAACACCTCAGAAATTGGTACAGGGAGGTATGAACCCAATCAGCAGGCAAATCATGGTGTCTGCAGGTCATCCAAAAATTCATCCTTTTCCTTGATGGCCTATCTTTTTAACTGCAAAGAACACCCGCTGGTCTGTCAATTGAAATGGAAGCAGGGGATGATAGTAAAGTGCTAATGCAAATTGGTTTATGCTCTCTTTTTTCCCCCAAGGCCTTTTGACATAAATAAGCTTTAATTATTTTACAGTAAACGGCTTGTGAGCCACTCTTCCTGCAGATTTCTTGTCACCACCATAACGTGTGCCTCCTGGTTTAAGACAAAGCCAACAGGGTATCATTTCATTTGTGTTACAAGAGCTTAGTTTGGAGACACACCTAAAGGTCAACCTATCACTTAGGGCAGTTTATGTGTTCACAATACTAGCCAAATTCACAACTACAGTATATTCTGGCGTATAAGACTACTTTTTAACCCAAGAAAATCTTCTCAAAAGTCAGGGGTCGTCTTATACGCGGGTGTAGTCTTATGCATGGGAGTCGTCTTAACTCTATATTTTAACTGGAAAAGTTGGGGGTCGTCTTATACGCCCAGTCGTCTTATATGCCGGAATATACGGTACATGAAGACTTTCTGTTTCCAAAATAGTCAAGATAAACAAGAGATGCAGTCTAGAACAGGACTTTTAAAACCTTTCAATTCGGAGTCCCTTTTGGCCAAATAATTTTTTACTTGACCTTGGCTATATAGGGATACAAAACAGGTACAAAAATCAAATATTTACTGATAATAAACCAGCATTTGCAGAGCTTGCTGAACAAGCCGAGTTTTCTTTTTATGAAGTACATCTGAAACATCTTCTACAGAATCCACTGTAAACATTACACAACAGATTCATGTCAATGTCTGAAACAGTCACTAAGTGATGTTCAGAAAATCTTTATTGTTGCCAGATTTTTGGGACTTCAACACTGAGCTAAGAGGTCCCATTTGGACTCACAGTTTAAGAAGTAGTGGTCAACTGCTGTAGGTTCCCTACCCCATTCCACAAGAAACCTGAACATGATGTCCTATTGCAATGGTTCTCAACCTGGGGTCCCCAGATGTTTTTGGCCTACAACTCCCAGAAATCCCAGCCAATTTACCAGCTGTTAGGATTTCTGGGAGTTGAAGGCCAAAAACATCTGAGGACCCCAGGTTGAGAACCACTGTCCTATCTGATTAGAGAAATTCTGTTAAATTCACGTCCAAGAATGGACATAACACCGGGACTGTAGTGCAGCTGGCTGGGAGTCAGCTGTATTAAGATCATTACTGACCAAAAGGTAATCAGTTCGAAGCCAGCGTAGGTTGGAGTGAGTTTACAACCATTGTGTAGCTTGTTGTCGACCTTTGCAGCCCGAAAGACAGTTGCATCTATCAAGCAGGAAATTGAGGTACCGCTTATGCAGGGAGGCTAATTTAATTAATTTATGATGCCATAAAAATCTCCAGCAACCGTGCAAAAAGAATGAGGAAGTACTCCATCATTGTCATTAATGGACAGCTCCCCTGGTGGCCAGAATACCCTCATGAAAGCTAGAATGTTAAATAGCCTCTGTGTGTCTGTCTATATATGTTGTGTGTTATGGCATTGAATGTTTGCCATATATAAGTACATTGTAATCTGCCCTGAGTCCCCTGCAGGATGACAAGGGCAGAATATAAATACTGTTAATAATATATGTTTTAACTATATGTATTATATGTATTATATTCATTTGAGAGAGGACTTAATTGTACATGTACAGCTCAAAGATCCTGTTGTATTAATTTACATGGAATGTTCTGACACTGTAATTCACCCATTGTTCAAATATGTGTTATAAATACATGACCAGGTTGTACTGGATTATAGTTCTGAAATGGGGTCATTGCTCAATTTTGTACTGCAACAAGTTTTGAATTTTTGAATGTGTTCTTCCCATTTCTTAGAAACTACCTCCTGGTCAGAAAAATTGAGTTTTTGTGTCTTTACTGCAGTTAAAAGACTGATGTTCCAACACTAGAAAGGTATTTGCTCATTGCCTATGACTGAGAACTTGTTTGTGTATCGTTTGAGTGAATTTTAAGGCTGCTGTTTTATTTGGTGGTATTTTATCTAATTGTTATGCTTTGCTATAAGCGAGGTACAAAAATAAAATTATTATTGTAACTTTGTAACTCTTTCAAAACCTGAACCTGTGACATATAGCCAAGTTTCTATAACTCTCTTAATGAACATCTGGATGATTTTCATTGAAATGCATGTAAAGATTTCTCCCTTTCAACACTGTACTATCTATACTATGGATGTGTTCATTTCACTTGTGTTTTTAACAAATTCTGGCATAGTAATAATTAAAGGCACAACAGAATCTATATAAATAAAAATGTAATGTTCGTTTGTGGGATTAACAGAACTCAGAAACCAATGGGCCAGTTGACACCAAATGTGGACAGCATAGACCTAACAACCCAATGTATGTCCTTCACTCATTTTTTTTATTTTGTCATTTGGGAGTTGTACTTACTGGGATTTATAGTTCACCTACAATCACAGAGCATTCTGAACTCCACCAATTATGGCATTGAACCAAACGTAGCACACAGGACTCCCATGACCAACAGAAAATACTGGAAGGGTTTGGTGGGCATTGATCTTGAGTTTGGGACTTGTAGTTCACCTACATCCAAAGAGCACTGTGGACTCAAACAATGATGATCTGGACTAAACTTGGCACAAATATTCCATATGCCCAAATATAAACACAGATGGAGTTTGGGGGAAATAGACCTTGAAATTTGGAATTTGTAGTTTCCTGGGATTTATAGTTCACCTACAATCAAAGAGCATTCTGAATCTCACAAATGACAGAATTGGGGCAAATTTCCCACACAGAACCCCCATGACCAACAGAAAATACTTAAGGCCATCCAGTCCAACTCCCTTCACCAGGGCAAGAACATGTAATCAGAGCCCTCCAGACAAAGAGCAATCCAGCCATAGATATAGATAGATAGATAGACAGATAGATATGATTCACACACAGAGAGATATAGTATCATACATTTGAAAGGGACCCCTAAAGAAGGACTATGATATGTTGCATATTCCAGAGTAGGCAGACCAGACACTCTCCACATCAACACTGACAAAGAAACAACAAGAAATACTGTTTACCCACAAACATAAAGAAATTATATATATTAGAAACCAACACTTTCTCATTACTTTATTTTCCAGACTGGGCCACAGCAACGCAGGGCAGGGGACAGCTAGTGATAAAATAAATTGAATGTTCTGTTCTAAGTCAAAACTATTTGGAACTATTTTTTTTAATGTATGATCTCTTATCAACCTGGATATGCACATACATATCAGAACCCTTCTTTGAAATAAAAAGACCAGCCCATAAAGTTAAAAACTCAATGGATTCACATAAGCCTCTGGTTCAAGAGCATGTGCATGGCAAAAAGGATATTGTAGAAGAGACCAAGAAAAGTTTAGAATTAGAACAGATCAAACACTCTTTTGTAGAAAATTGAATGAGCATTAAAACAGCATTAGCATTTTAAAAATTGTCTGCAGTCAAGACAACAGGTTATGACAATCTCAGAGTAAGAGCACATGCACAATGGTTGATTACAGCCATGGTATTTATTCATGTATGAAGATGGCAGTGCATTACCAAAACAGATGTCAATTTTTAAAAAGAGGAGGGTGGGTGGCAAAAGCTATGTAAGAATGAATATCCTTTTGTTTCTTCACGCAATAAGCCACGGTTATTCCTGTCAGTGATGATTGTAATTGAAGCGTCAATCCAATTAACAGCTATACCCTGAATAATGTTAATGAGATCTGAACGTGGCATCAGAGGAAAGACCAGCTCTACAGGTGATAAACCTTCACAGTAGTGACATTTTCCAGTGTAAAGTCACAGTTACTGTGATCTGATCAAAGAGACAGACCCCCATTGGGTCCAATTATAACTATAGTTTTGGAAAAGGAATTATTGAGTTATGATGTTCATAACCTATGCAGAAAAGCCTTTACAGTATAGGTCTTCTCCCTATAGCTGTGATCTTTTCAATTTATATCCAAGCTCCATAGATCCTAATAAAAGGCTGATTCGTTTACTCCATGGAGAGCCTATACCAATGTTCGCTTAAGTGGTTTCTTTAAAAAAAATCACAAAGACAAGAAAAATGTGATTTATAGTTAAAAAGCAACAGAGTTCAAGGTTGCAAATAACTCTTACGTAGATAATAAGAAACAAGAAGTAAACATATCCCAAACACAAGCTTTGAAGGAGCTATGTGCAATAACACCAGTTATACTTAAATAAATGAGGGTCTAAGAAATTGTGTGAAAATCCTTGCCTTCCGTGATACCACTGGAGCGGTTATGGCTTATATGTAAAAATAAAAGCAATTCTGATAGTCTTCTAATGCATTTCCTTGTAGGGCCACTGAACTCAACATAACGAGGATCAGACAGCAAATTAACAGTGCTACTAGTTTTCTCCTCTTTTCCATCACACCACACCATCTGTCCAATCAAGTTCACGGAGGGGTGATACACAGACATCGGACGTGAGTAGGAATGTTTCATTTAGCTTTTAAAAAAAATATTGAAACTGTTCTTTCAAATTCAATCAATGTACCTTGTTAAACATGTAGCACGCAACTGAAACTTTTGTTTTTATTTGCAAAGAAGGGAATGATGGACCTATTCAGATATGGACCACCACTTTTGGGGTTGGCATGGGAGGTTAAACCCTTCACCCACTGTTTTTGTGTCCCCCCCCACCCCCAACATCCCTTCTTAAAAAGAGAAAAAATGTCACTGGCAATAATAGGTTCTTTTTCTTTATGGGATTGCCATAAGGCGACATGAACAGACACACACACAGACAATGCATTATGTACATAAAATATTTTTATTAAACAGATGA